GACAGACCCCTTTGTGTGAGCAGAGGAGAGGAGAGGAGGAGGAGGAGGAGCCATTGATACAGGTGTGAGCAGAGGAGCAGACCCCTTTGTGTGAGCAGAGGAGGAGGAGGAGGAACAGCGGGTGTGACAGGTGTTGAGCGGCTTGCTATTGCCAATGTTTAGTCCGAATCTCCCCAACAAAAACATATTTTTAAAAGCATTAGCAAACCACACAGTATGTCAAGCTTTAGCTAGCTGGAGATGTTTTTGTTGTGGTCAGAGTGTGTGGAGGAGGAGGTGAAGATAATTTTGTGTTGTCAGTGTGGAGGAGGAGAGTGTATGTTGTCAGAGTGTGTGGAGGCATGGCAAAAACGATTTGAATGATAAAATAATAATATTGACTCCGCCTCATAGCCATTTTTGGGCACATATTTGCCCAAATCTAACTATTAGAAGAAAAAGACTCCTTTTGGTTCAATCTTTTGCGTTGCTCTACCATTTTGCCAGCAGGACGAAAAGAGACAAGTCAGCTTAAAAGACCGCACCAATATTGCACGTAGAGTGGTGTGCGTGTGTACGTGCGCGCGCCAAACGCCATAGGAGCGAGACACTCGGTTACGCGCGTGCTGATCTCGTCAAGCACCGCGCGAGGTGGTGCTTGAATTCATGTCATAGATTATAACAGAAAAACTTCCTCAGATCTGGGAAAAAGTGTCAGGCAGGCCTCGCGTTTCGGATTTCGCACAGGGCCTCGCACCCCCTTGGGACGGGCCCCTGCCTCAAAATACCTTCCATGCTCCACTACTGAAAGCTCTGGGCGCAGCGAAGGAAACGAGAAGGTCTGGTCTGCGCTTGCAGTACGGAGGCGTGTCGATAGTAGCGTTGACGGGTACGTGACGTCACTACCCGACACGCCACTACATGAATTTTGAATCCACTTGAACTTCTGCAAGTATATCCGTTGAAGAGAAGACATGGCAGGACCGTACGGCAAACAGTAAGTGTCAACCAACAACGTGTTTTATTTATTTTTAGGCGTCCCTCCGTTACAGTGTATTAATACTAAATGGCACATCACCCTGACTAGAAATGTTTTTAAGAAGTGAACTAAATACATTGCAGAGAAAGCAATTTGTATGGGTTTCTTCTAAAGTCCAAGTGCCATCCGACATGTCCAGGTACATAGTAAAAATAGGAACATAGTATATATAATACAAATATAATATTGCCCAATTCATTTTTGCATCGTTAAAATGGATAATCAGAAAAACCATAACTCTTTACATGTTGTCCAAGAACAGTGGAGAATTAGTTAGGCAATTATGGTGATGGAGCTCAACGATGTTTCCTATCACAGTTTACAGAAGTCCCTGACCTGAGTATTGGATGATTGTCCCAGATATTTGTTTTTTCTGAGTGTGCACAAATGGCTTTTTATGTCTCTTTGCCAGTTGCATCCGACTATTGTCAGTGATGGTAATCATGCTCCAGTGCGAAGCAGGAACAACGGCTCACAGTGTGTAACGCATTTTAAACATGGCGAGAAGCACAAATGCTCACACACGTGCAAGACCCAAAGAAAGCATCTGTTTGTCCATGGAGCTATTTTTAACTTCGAATCACGGTGTTGTGCAATAATTGACATTTGTTCTAAAGTGATTGTCTAGAGTTTGTCAGAAAGAGAAACAGAGAGTACTGATTTTGGAAAAAAAAAACACCCAAGCTCCCTCCCCCTTCCTTTCTGATTGGGTCCCTACACGCCTTACCGGAAAGTATAGCATGATTTAATAAATGTTTGTTTACTTTGTAGGCCCGAGCGCCACCAGGGTCTGGCACCGGGGACTATTGAAAAAAAATGGGAAAGTGTGCATAAAACACTGAACCCCCCTCAAACATAAACATGCTCATGGTAACATGTTTCCTGGACGTACACTGTACTAAAAACTCCTGCATTGCAACATTGTTGATGACAGAGACCATAAAGTCATAAGTGCAAGTCACGACAATATATTAAACCGGACACAACACCTTTTTTAGGCTGCTTTTTTTGGTTTTGTGAACTGTTGTTGTTTGAATGGTAACACCCATTTTACTCTTATCTAGTGACAGTCACACTCTGGCCGGAGGCATTTCACCTGCTCAGCACAGAGGCAATGGAAAAATTCAAAAAGGGGCCCACCGTATGAACCATGGTAAGATTATTTAAAATAATTAGAAGGATACATATTCACTGTGCACTGCACAATCCTAATCTGCCATGTTGTTCTTTATGGACTGTGAGTTTAAAAATGATTGCAAATGATCTGGTAGGCATTTACAGAGGAGGCAGCAGGGAGGCAGAAAGGCTTGCCAAGAGAGATGGGAATGATTGGGCGCTCTCCTCAGAAGCCTTCTCTCATGAATATAATAAAAGAGGATTTGTTTTTGTGTTGAACTTTATTCAGTGTCTACATTCAGAGCCATTCAGAATAACAACAAATTCATAAAAAAACATGTTACAAAAAAGCCAGAATACAATTTGTTCATTTTTGTTTAAGCCCCTCTTCTACATACAAATTTGACAAAACACAATATAATGACTGTCTGCTTGTCCCAAAAGGGCCATAGATGTGCACAAAAATGTGATGGCATGTTCCTTTATGATCAGAAATGTGGAGACCATGGTGTAGGATGTGTGTGGTGTGGTGTGTTAATAATTATCTTAACTTGGTAATTACTTTTCAATCCTGTGTTGACAAGTTTCTCAAAAACGCCACACTACTTTATCAGTATATGTCCACACAGTGTGTCACAGCTGGTTGGAGGATGCCAGGCTACTAACTGGTTCTATTGCCACCGCCACGCAGTCTTCCTCACTATGTCCACACATGTGGGTGAAGTGCAATGCAAATAAGATGAATAGGAAAGGTGGGAAGAGAGAGCGAGAGAGGAGTCAGTTTCAGGAAGGATAAAAAGAAAGGGTGATAGTAAAGATAGAAGCAATGATTTATGCTTAAAATGTCACAAGAGAGGACACTGGAAGAGGGATTGTACAGAAAGTGTTGAGTATGTTAGGAGAAAGACTAACAAAGTAGCAATGGATAATTGTAATGTTAACAGCAGGTTAGAATTAACACTTGATTTTTGTGAAGAACACATGGCTTCACTCAGTCTGGGAAAGCTGAGTGATTTAAAAAACATTTTAGATGTGCAGGGAAAAATGTTGAAACAGCAGAAGAAGTTTCTAGATGCATGTATTAAGATTAAACAATGCAAAGAAGTCATGAGTGAGTCAACACTAATGTTTTCTTCTGTTTCTGAGTCCATCACAGCCAGTCAAAGAGAGACACTTGGGGGCAGATCATCTGATCCTTCCCAGCCACAGCCACTGCCTCACTCCACTCCAACCAGGAAGACAGGTCTGGGAGCAGAGTGCATCCAGATGGGGAAGAGAGAGCCAAGCAGTGGCAAAAAGAAGCAAGGCTGCTTTAATTGTGGTTCTTTTGACCATTGGGCACGAGAGTGTTTTAAACTTCACAGATCAATTACAAGTTCAAGTGCTGTGGTTGGGAACGACGAATCAGACGCCTAAGAAGTCCTCTCTGACTGATGCTGACTCAGAACAATCAGATAAGTGGGAAACACTCTGAAAATAAGCAGTTTAATTTTTCAGATTTGAATAATAAATATGTTTAGTTTCATTTGAAAGGTTTAAATTTAACAGTAAGGGAAGTTACTGTAGCATGTTTAATGTTTACATCAAAGAAATGCAAATCTGTTTGATTCTGAATATAACTAGTTATACATTATTTCAATAGTTAATTGTGATGTTTTCATTTCTGAGACAAGAAAATTACAGTAATAGGACTGTCTTCAGCAACAGTTTTCATTAACTGCTAAGGTTTTCTTTTGGGGTTTACTGAACTAAGTCTGAAATGTATTAACAAATGTGTACTTTGTGTGTTTTGTTTGAGGGAAACACCTAAAAAACCACTTTTGATGCTCAAAAAGCTCAGAGTTCATTCCTGTGAAGGAGACGCCCACTCCCACCCCCACCAATCATCAACCAGCAAACCAGCAGGCCAAACCAAGGCTAAATGCTGCAACGACAGAAGCAATAATGCAAAGGGTCATCCAGAGGTCAGACTCAAATCAACCACTTGACTCTGTGTGTTTTTGGGACATTTTGCAGATTTCCAAAAAAAAAAATCTGAAAGACTGGGTTGACCGAAGACATCACCTTTGTGCAAAGATCTGAGGACTGGAGGTTTCCAGTTTTTGCTGTCGGTTCTAAAGTGTGTGAACAGGACAGAGGCTTCTGGACATGATGGGGCTGTGCAGGATGGTGCTGGACGTTGCTGGCTGCAGAAGACATTGGGGTGTGGAGGCGTTTCTACAACAGGCGTTACTGGACAAGAGGCTTTTTGGTGTGGTGTTTAATTTGCTAACCAAAGTTGACACATTTCAAGTTAATACATTTCAGGTTAAAACGTTCTAGTTTAATACATTTCAAATGAACGTTTAGTTTATACATTTTGATTTGTGTCTTTTTCATTTCATGCACATGAATAATTAGGAATTATGTTTAGTTATTGAGCCATTTTTAATCTCAAACAGTCTCAAACAGGGGGGAGATATGGTTTATAGGGGAGTAATTCTATACATATGAAATGATCTCTAAAAAAACTTTTTTGAGTTCTTTTCTGTGTGTGTTTCTGTAACCAATGTGATTTTTATAAGACACATGTGAAGAGGGGTCTCTAAGTTGAGTCGACACAACTTGGATTCAAATGTAATACTGTGTTTGTATTAATTTCATTGTGTTCCATCTTTAAGTTGGTTTACTAAACATTGAATGTGATTAATTCTTTTAATGAAAAACAGGAGGGAAATGTTAGTAGAGTTGTTGGATTTTCATTAAAGTGAATTAGAATATATTAAAAGTTTAGACAGCTTTGGGTTAACCTACGTGTGTGATGGGATGTGATGGACGCATCAGCAGCATTCTCCCATCCCCCAGCCATTAAACACAGGAAGTTAAATTAAGAAGAGCGCAGAGAACATCTGTTTAGAGTAGCCTCAGGCTTACTTTGAGAGGGGCTACTGTTTGTCCTGAAACAGAGAAGGTATTGTCTTCACCTAAGGATGTTGGGACATATGTCTTCAATTATCATGGTATAAGACGAGAGCTCTTTGGTCCATTTCTTTGTCACTCTGCTGCTTTCCATCTAGCAGAGACCCAGACTAGACTGTAGTCTGTAACTTGTCTGTTTGTGCTGATGTCCAGATAACCTGTAGTTTTGAACCAGCGGCTGACAACATGTATTAAAGAGATTATGTTGTTGAAATGTGACTAGTTTTTTCACAGTTACAATAATAATAATACAATAATAATTAATAAATAATAATAATAAAACAATGAGCTTTGGTCCTTGTTACCATGGCGGCGCATGAACATGCTGCGGCTTCTCTCTCTCTTGACAAGGTGACGTTTCTACCCTTTTCTGCAAACTGCATTTGCAGTTTTTGTGATCCGCATTGTTTTGCAAGATGTTGTTGTACATCTTTGCCATATTTTTGTGGAGTTCAGCTGATTTTTTTTCTTTGCTAGCAATGAACAGAGGATGTGTTTTTAAAAGTAAACACACAGTTAGCATCTGAGCTAAAGGCTTTTTGAGCAGTATTTAAGACCTACAAATCCAGAGATATCATCTTCTGAAGCGCTGACAGGTCACCGAGGGCCCCACGCATCTGCAGCACAGTGGAGGCGTCACAAGAGGCGCTACAGGAGTCCCGGCCTCCGTTGTGTGCAACTTCTACAGAGGGACTGTAGAGAGCATCCTGACCAGCTCCAGCACTGGGTCGCACGGCACCAGCACTGCCTCCTGCCGAAGGAGCCTCCAGCGCATCGTGAGAGCAGCAGAGAAGATCTGTGGAGCCCCTCTCCCCACCATTAAGGACATGTACTCCACCTGTCTCACCCGCAAAGCCGTGAGAATCACCAGGGACCCTACGCACCCATCACACAAGCTCTTCAGGGTAATGCCTTCAGGAAGGAGACTGCAGAATTTACGGAACAGTTCCAGTCGACTTAAAATCAGTTTCATTCACGAGGCCATCAGGAAGCTGAACTCCCTGCCCTCCCTCCCACCCCCCGCTCCACAATCAAGGATGAGAGAAATATAATTTCAAACCATTCACTTGGTTTGACAAATAAAAATCTTGAATCTTGAATCAATAACAGCCAATGTCATATTCCACTCATACAAATCGTACATGGAAATAGCTGCAATGCTATCAAAGGTTACTCTGCATGGTGGTAAGTAGGGATGTAAATCGGTGACCGTTTAACCGGTGGTTGACCGTCACAGCGTTAACCGGTCAAAGCTGTCGGTTAAAAAAAAGAAAAGGGGGAGGAGGAGGTTTCTTAATAACGCTATTTTAAGCCCTATTTGCACGGTGTGACGAGCAGGTCCGTCTCTAGCTGTGTGCACCAATGTATTAGTAAACTCCGGGCCGACTTTCATGCCGCACGCGCCACATGCACGCACACACACACACACACACGCACACACACACACTTTCCCCCCTCCATTTATACGTAACATCCACACGCATCATCTCTCCCCTCTGTCCGCCAAAGTTGCACAACGCGGGTTAGAACTACATTGGAGCTTACATTTACACACACATACATGTATTGTACACATGTATTGTATACCGGTCTGTCGCGCTCCTCTGTGTCACGCAGCCCAAAGTATCCAAACACGCGGCTTCAGTCAAACCACATGGAACATGTTTGTGTGTATAGTCCTTGTCATTAGATCAGCTCCACACACATCACTTTTAAACTTTAGCGGAGACCTGCGAGACGCGGCTCGTCACTCGCTGCTCTGACCATGTGGACGAGCCGTTGTTTGCTGCTAAAAAGTGTCAACCACAGAAGTATGGAAAGATTAAAAAAGCAGTTATCTGTGCGCAAAAGTGCCGAAGATGTTGCGGGTTGGTGCTGCTGTCTCGGCTCTGATCCATTAGAATGCAGAGCTGCACTTATGAGAAGTACGCGGCTCGAAATGGCTGTTATTTCAAAGAACGTGGAATCTACGCGGTTAACCGGTTTCAACCGGTTAATGAGGCTTGGTGGTCGGTCATGAAAATTCATAGTTTTTTACATCCCTAGTGGTAAGTTTTATCAAGTTGCTGGTGTTATACAAGTATGTTTTGGACCCACCTCGTGACAGTTTTGCCTTACACAAAGTACAGTCCGTTTTACTCTTGTCACTCTCGATGACTTTAAAAAACTACCATACGGCAGACATCTTGTCCGCTCGCTGCTAACCTGCTTGCTGGTAGCTTGCTTTCTCGATGCCGACTTTGGAAGATCACCATGGCAACACGTGCCGCACAGCTGTCTGCTGTCTTGTCACAAATGTGACAAACGAACAATACTGGGACAAAGTACTTTCCACCATTATCCAAGCACTGTGCTATTAGTGTAGGGCTTCTTAGAGCAGAAGGAATACCTTTTCGATACCTAGATATTGATGTCTAATATACTGCATGGCGGGTGGTAGGGTGTGGGGGTTGAGGTTTGTTTTGCTCCCTTTTGTTTTTTGCTGGTGTCATTGTTTACACACTAATTTAATCCCTTTCCCAGTACTGTTCTATCAAACTGTACGCATTTAAGCTACTAAAAGCTTCAATAATGATCATAATTGACAATCATAAAACATTGTGTGCCTGTGATCAGGTGGTATTTAAACACTGCTTGGAAAATTTGTGTTTAGTTTTTTTGTTATTATTATTATTATTATTATTTGGAGAATAGCTCACCAAACATTATATATGTTTGGTGAGCTGTTCTCATCCCTGCACTCTCCTTGAAAATAATTTTAAAAAATGATCAAAAAAACTAAAATAAATGTCAATCAAAAATGTGGGTATCGGTTACCGGAATACAAGCACGAGTACAAGCACGAGTCCAAGCCTATGGTATCACCCCAATACCCGATACTAGTGTCGGTATCGGTACATCCCTGGTTATAATCCACACCAGAAAAACCCGGAGGGGGAAAAGTCAAATGTGCCAGAGGTGAGGCCTATAGTGCGAAGACTGCGGTGGAGGGAACATCCCAGAGGGAAGCAGAGAACAGTGAAGCTTGTATCACGGGTCTATGTACACACCGGGCAGAGTGTGCGGGGACTCGGCTGCTGATGTTGTCTCTGTGTAGTCTATGGAGGAGTGTGGAAGACAGTTCGCCAGAGAACACATACTGTACAGGATTTACATTTCACAAGCCGGGCTGTTGAGGTGGGGTGGGGAAAGTGAGGGGGTTGCGGGGCAGTAGCGCATTTATTATGGGGGTCGCGGGCTAAAAAGTTTGAGGACCCCCTTTAATGTTTTGGAGCTGTTGTTGGGCAACAGACTTTCAACTCCCTATGGGGTTGAGATCTAGAGACTGGCTAGGCCACTCCAGGACTTTGAAATGCTTCATACAAAGCCACTCCTTCGTTGCCCTGGCGGTGTTTGGGATCATTGTCATGCAGAAAAATCAAGCCATGCTTCATTTTCATAGGGGGACTATAGGGGGATAGTCTGGGGTAGTGGGGGGTGAAAGTTTTGTGAGTGCGAGGAGGGAAGCAGAAAGAGCAAGGGCAGCGCTCACATTTGAAACTTCTGCTTCGAAATCACAAAGTGAGTTAGTCCAACTTTAGTACAGGTAACAAGTGGAGGACAGAGGGTCCCCTCTTGGGTGGGGGAAAAGTCTCTCACTGTTGTGGCGGCCTAAGGGCCAAACAACATTGCAGAGAACTCTGCCTACTTGGGAGTCCCTGGGACTCCCAAGTAGGCAGGGGGAGGACTTCATTGCGCGGGAAATGCCAGTGACACTTGGAGAGGGGTGATCAGGAAGAACGACACCCCTGATCTGAACCCGAGTGGTGTTCAGTTGTTGGACTTCTGTGCTAGTCAAAGTTTGTCCATCACGAACATCATGTTCGACCACCAGTGCACGTGGCACCAGGCCGGAGGTCGATAATCGTCTTTGTTGTCGTGTCATCTGACCTTTGGCCGTATGTCTCGGACACTCGGGTAAAGAGAGGGGCGGAGCTGTCAACTGATCACCACCTGGTAGTGAGTTGGATCCTCTGGCAGGGGAGGAAGCCAGTCAGACCTGGCAGATCCAAGCGTGTAGTGAGGGTCTAGATGAGCCCCCTGTCAGACGGACTTTCAACACACACCTCAGGGAGAGCTTCTCCCAGGTCCCGGGGGAGTAAGGGGACATAAAGTCTGAGTGGACAATGTTCTCCACATCTATCATCGATGCAGCAGCTCATAGCTGTGGTCGCAAGATCTCTGGTGCTGGTACCGGCAGCAAGTCCTCCCAGGGACTGGGAGGAGTTCGGAGAGTCCATTGAGCATGACTATTGGTCGGCCTCGATGTTGGGGTGGATACTTCTATCTCCCTAGCTGTCTTGGCTGACAAGTTTCTGGGGTGGTGGTCTAGCTAGCGGCGTTTAGTTAGCGGGTTTTTGTGTAAAGTTCTTCTCCAATACTGCAGATCTGCAGCGGCTTTGAGTCCAGAGACTTTCCAGAGACTTTATATAACAGCAGTATGTGTTCACGGAGGTGCACCATCAGTTTATTTAATTATTAGACGGTGCTTCTGCATCGGTGAACATGCTAGCTGCGCTAAATGCTAGCTGTGCTAGTTTAGTCAATGGAGAATGACACGGGCAGAAGGAAAATGTTCACAAGCACACACAAAGAGACAGACAGTTTTCTTAAGGGGAAAGGAAAGTGTCAGTCTTAAGTGAATGAAGATGATTTTTTCAGTAAGCCAGGCCTATGTTCAACATAACTGTTGAATTCTAAATGTTTATTTTCATAATTTTTTGCTAGAAAAGCCCTCTCTTTAGCTTAAAGCCCTCAAGTTTACATTGGTTACTGTATTCTTTCAGTTGCTCTAAACAAGTATTTTGGGTGAATTTTTATTTTATTCTATTGAATGCTAAATATCAAGTGTTATTTTCATGTGAAAGAAGAATAATAAGATTTTCTTCTCTGAGCTCTTTTTCCACCATTCTCGTAATAAACCTTGATACATATGTGCACAAATCAATAATATAATCTGTATATAACAAGACAAACTGTCTTGTTATATAAAAAAAATAAAAAAAATTACATGACAAAAAAAATAAAACATTTTACACTTTCTGACATGCGCAAACTGAACTTCCGGACGAATCCGGTTTCCGGGACAAATCCGGCAGCAACAAGGAGCAGTGTGGTTTTTGTGCGGGCCGCGGAACATTGGACCAGCTCTACTCTCTCCATTGGATACTCAAGGGTTCATGGGAGTTTTCCCCAACCTGTCCACATGTGCTTTGTGAATTTGGAGAAGGCATTCGACCGTGTTCCGCGGGATGTTTTTAGTGGAAACCGGAGCACCCAAATTAAAAGGGATTACATGCAAACTCCATACAGAAAGGCCCTGATCCACCAGGGACCTAATTCCCCAGGTAGAATCATTCCCAGGACGCTTTCAGTGAAGCCAAAGCGTATATACTGTATGTCAGACAAGCTACACCACCTGCCTTTTGCAATCAATGTATTTGACACAACCTCGGAGCAAATGACTTCAACTTGAAAATGTTGTATTCCCCACAATATTGTGAGACTTTTGACAACACAATATGAAATGCCAGTATGTGGGCAACTGTTTAAGAGGTTGCTCACCTGGATTTTGCAGTGCCCAGGGCTTTCTTGGTTACGCCATGCTTAAAGCCATTGGCAGTGATGTCTAACGGTTTTTCCATCACTTTGCACCAACTGATGGCTACCTCACAAAAACAAAACAGAGACAAAAATATTACGTTTTCAGGTGTCGTGGAGCACAGGGTTTGATGAAGCAGTTATACAGTACCTGCACCACAAGGAGAGACTCGGCCCTGCCCTGCCCGGTAACACCGCTCTATTTGGGCCTGGCTGAAGGGAAACTCCAGGCTGGATTGGAGGAACACCGGTGAGGAGACAGAAAAGCCATCAGGGAGACTGGCAACATGACAGCACCTGAGACACATCCATACTGATTATGAAACTGATTATGGATTGTGGACCAACTCTCTGAGATTACACGTCATCAGACCTGGAGTAGTTTCATGTCAATATTATCAATTTCTGACAAAAATCAACACAAACATGTCACTCCTCCTCTTTGTCTCAAACCTGTTAGACCTGTATCTGGAATAGAGTTTCGTTCAGGCCTGAAAAATCAAGCCCGACCCGGCCCGAGCCCGCTAATACTAAGCCCGAGCCCGTATAAGCCCGACCAATTAAGGCTGTATAATAGGCCCGAGCCCGACAGAAGCCCGACACATCTGATTTCCCTTGTTGTGCGCACTCACCATCCAATTGCAAGTTTAGCCACTTCTGAATGTGTTTTGTACGTCCACCTGATCCATTTCTGTTAATGTTCCGTGTGTTCGCTGTTGACCGTAGCATTCAACAATACAGTCTATGCATTCAACAGGAAAAACAGGGATGATGCGTTCATGGCTTTCTGCGGCTGTAGGACACGCCGGTTACGGTGTTATAAATATATCAACTTTTTAAATAACTTGTGGTCAATCAATGGACATTATTATTAATAAATACATATATGCATATCATTATGTATGAAAATCATAAATAATAAAAAATATTAATAAAAAAAAATAAAAAAAGTAAAAATAAAAAGGAGCCCGAGCCCGGAACGGCCCGACTGCTGAGCGCTGAAGTGAAAAGCGAAACTCTAATCTGGAAGTCCCACAGGATCTCATCATTCTCACCACCTTTGGAGAAGTTTCCCATCTTGACCTTGGGGTTTAAGAGATCCTTTATTTGTCCGACAGTGGGGAAGTTTCCAGCGAACAGATGGGTAAGAACACTATACCAGTCACTTGGTTATGGCGTTCCAAGTGGGCTTTCCCTTACACCCTGCAGTTATGTGTTGGATTGTCTCAGGTGCCTCTGCACATCTGAAGACTTGGGTCTCGTCTGGTATGGTATATCTGTGCCTCTATCGCTCTAGAGCCAAGGGGCTGCTATATACAGTGCCTTGCAAAAGTATTCGGCCCCCTTGAACATTTCAATATTTTGCCACATTTCAGGCTTCAAACATAAAGATATAAAAAAAAAAAAAATTGTCATGAATCAACAACAAGTGAGACACAATCGTGAAGTGGAACGACATTTATTGGATAATTTAAACTTTTTTAACCAATAAAAAACTGAAAAGTGGGGCGTGCAATATTATTCGGCCCCTTTACTTTCAGTGCAGCAAACTCACTCCAGAAGTTCAGTGAGGATCTTTGAATGATCCAATGTTGTCCTCAATGACTGATGATGATAAATAGAATGCACCTGTGTGTAATCAAGTCTCCGTATAAATGCACCTACTCTTTGATAGTCTCAGGGTTCTGTTTAAAGCGCAGAGAGAACCATGAAGACTACACCAGGTAGGTCCGAGATACTGTTGTGGAGAAGTTTAAAGCCAGATTTGGATACAAAAAGATTTCCCAAGCTTTAAACATCTCAAGGAGCACTGTGCAAGCAATTATATTGAAATGGAAGGAGTATCAGACCACTGCAAATCTACCAAGACCCGGCCGTCCCTCCAAACTTTCATCTCAAACAAGGAGAAGACTGATCAGAGATGCGGAAGAGGCCCATGATCACTCTGGATGAACTGCAGATAACTACAGCTGAGGTGGGAGAGTCTGTCCATAGGACAACAATCAGTCGTGCACTGCACAAATCTGGCCTTTATGGAAGAGTGGCCATTTCTCAAAGATATCCATAAAAAATCTCGTTTAAAGTTTGCCACAAGCCACCTGGGAGACACACCAAACATGTGGAAGAAGGTGCTCTGGTCAGATGAAACCAAAATCAAACTTTTTGGCCACAATGCAAAACAATATGTTTGGCGTAAAAGCAACACAGCTCATCACCCTAAACACACCATCCCCACTGTCAAACATGGTGGTGGCAGCATCATGGTTTGGGCCTGCTTTTCTTCAGCAGGGACAGGGAAGATGGCTAAAATTGATGGGAAGATGGATGGAGCCAAATACAGGCCCATTCTGGAAGAAAACCTGTTGGAGTCTGCAAAAGACCTGAGACTGGGACGGAGATTTATCTTCCAACAGGACAATGATCCAAAACATAAAGCCAAATCTACAATGGAATGGTTCACAAATAGACGTATCCAGGTGTTAGAATGGCCAAGTCAAAGTCCATACCTGAATCCAATCGAGAATCTGTGGAAAGAGCTGAAGACTGCTGTTCACAAACGCTCTCCATCCAACCTCACTGAGCTCGAGCTGTTTTGCAAGGAAGATTGGGCAAGAATTCCAGTCTCTCGATGTGCAAAACTGATAGAGACATACCCCAAGCGACTTGCAGCTGTATTTGCAGCAAAAGGTGGCGCTACAAAGTATTAGCGCAAGGGGGCCGAATAATATTGCACGCCCCAATTTTCAGTTTTTTATTTGTTAAAAAAGTTTAAATAATCCAATAAATTTCGTTCCACTTCACGATTGTGTCCCACTTGTTGTTGATTCTTGACAAAAAATTTAATATTTATATCTTTATGTTTGAAGCCTGAAATGAGGCGAAATGTTGAAAGGTTCAAGGGGGCTGAATACTTTCGCAATACTTTCACTGTATATATATATATATAGCAGCCCCTTGGCTCTAGAGCGTTGTTTCCCACAGGGTCGGACAAAATTACCTTTAATTTTTATAAAGTTTAGGTCTGAAAATGACCATCTCTTGACAAATGCACTCTTCGTAGAGGAATGTAGGGTGCAGTGTGGGTATTGGGACAGGGCCCAAGTCTGGAGGTCGCGCGGTGCTCCACTACAATCGGTCCGTCTGAAACTCATCCAGTGAGAAACGTTCCGTGGTGCAAAAAGGGAGATGACGATTAAAGCGCGTAAATTTTTTTAACGCGCTAATTTTTGTGTAATAATTCATCTTAATTAACATGCTAAAGTCCCGGCCCTAATGCTTATGTCTATTCAAATAAACTAAATTGACAGTTGGATTATACATACCGTGAAGTGACAGCTCTGTGCATGGCCTCCTGACTGTAAGCACATTTCCCCACTACAATGACACTGAAGTAGATGGCCTCTTGGAGATAATGGGAGAGGAGGGCACCCTGGAACCCCAACACCCCCCAACGGGCCAGTTTGTCACTGCAGGATAGGGACGTGGTGGGCTCCCCTCGCCCTGGCTTCAGCCGCAGGAGCCCTGTGTTGTGGTATCCCACACCAGGCAGCAGTGCATCTGAAGGGCCTCCAGGGATACACTTGGCCCCGGTCCTGTGCACGTCGGCCCCCAGCTCATCTTCTGTACCCAGAGTGTCAGCTATAGCTAGATAAAGACAGATGGACAAGGAGATTAATTCTTTTCAAATTCATATACAGTACTCTCGAAATAATTCAACCCCTCCTCACCTCGTCACACAACTTGCATACATCTCTCAGCGTACGCCGTTTGCAGGAAATACATCACGTCACCATGTTATGCTACTCTTGGCTGAACAAACTGCTTTAACAAAAGCAATACAACACATGGGCACGGCTCTTTCTCCAAACTGAACCGGTGTTTTCAAACAGTCTTTATTTAACAACAGTATTGGGTTCTATAACCTCTACTGACAAAGTGGATGAAGTTTCTGAAGTCTCTGCCATTTCACTAAAAATAAAACATGAAAATATCAAGTGTACATACCCTTTGCTAAAATACTAACTGAGATGACTGCAGCACACCTGTGGTGCATTATTCAGATTTACGTGATTTGGAAAGAGACGTCCCCTCCTCAATTACTGATTCTATAAAGAACTATTACATATTCTGAGGCACATCAGGTTAGTTGTTTATCATACATGTTTGTAGTGCAAGTCTCTACTATGTCTCCAGTACATTTTTTGTAGTACATGTCTGTTGTGCATTTTTGTAGTGGTATTGTACCTGTCCTTGAGGAGCGGGTCCTCCCCCTCTGCGCTGCCTCGTTTCCTGTCTTGTGTGTGATAAAGCGGGGCAGCTTCGGCTCGGGCCAGTCTGCCTTGGTCTCGGAGGCTTTCCTCTTAGCAGAGGCGCTGATGGGAGGACAGGTCAGCAAAGTCTGAGCCATGGGGAAAATGGTTGCGTCCCCACCTGTGATGAACAAACTCTTTTTAATGGCCTATTCAACAGTACTTCAGCCAACTCAACCAAACCATTATTTTCCCTCGTCAAGTGAGTAAAAGTAGTGAGTATCAGAGGCAGTGGTTGGAGCAGAAAGGGAGATTGTGTGCGTTATGTTTATTTCCTTACTCACATGGTGTTTGGCTTGTGAAGAGCACAAAAGAGACCCCACGTCTGAGTCTGAAGCAGGTCTGATCTGGTCTAGCCTGGCACTCCAGCACCGCACTGGGTCGGCCTGAAACCGCCCGCTGCAGCTCCTCCAACAGGTATCTGCACACACACATCCTCATGTCCTTCAAACCAACAACTAAACGGACAAACGCTATGCATTATTACTCATCATTACATCACCAATACTCCCATCTAAATGGTAGAAGTGGGGTATTATATTTTGCTAGATTTGTAGTTTGTGCCGTGTCTTGACTGGAACAGAACTAGCCAAGGTAATACAATCATTTTAGGTAGGAACAAGCTTTGACTAAATCCCAATGAATTCAAAGGAGACAGCCTGGAGTGTCCTCAGTTTGGTCGGCACATCAGCCCAGAGAAACCAAGAGATTTACCACCAACTTGTACTGCTGCTGAAGGACAATTTGGCCCCAAAACGAAGTGTCGTATAGACTTGTGACAGAAATGCACCTCCACAGCATTTTAAGGTAGACAACAGCGCGCAGAAGTGTGGAAATAGTGCGTCAAATGATGACGTAAAGGACAGTCAGAGAGTGGATGTGTTGTTAGTAGCAGGCTGGGACATGATTCCAAGGAAACTTTGGAGTTATGAAAGTGCTTTTTAGATAGATATGTTCTGAGGGAAAGGCCTGTTACCTAATGCATCCTCTACGGGCAATGACCTCTGCATGGCTGTCGTTGAGCACGTCCCCTACAAAAAAAGACAATGTCATGAACCACAAGAACATTATTATTTTCAAGGAGCCACATTTCAGTCCCATGTGAACAAGAGCTAAATTTTAATTACATTTTTGTCATGTTATGTTACAACTATGAAGATAAAGACTTTTTATTGTTGACAGGCATACCACAACCGTGAAGTCAAAGCAAAAACAAAACAACTCAACATCTGTTGTTGATTTGAGTTGTTATGTTTTTGCTTTGACTTCACGGTTGTTGTTCATACCTATTGTATCCTTGTACAATCTTAAGTATCATCACACATATGAAAACCTCATCTGGCCCAAATAATATTCTGGCGACTAGGTTTGTGAAATAAGTATGGTTGTCAGTTGGTCCTGCAGGCTCCATATGACTAATTTGGTCTCGAGATGTTTTCCCTCACATTACAAACACAAAATCCCACCCGGCAACTAGAGGCTTAATTAATAACGTTTAGTTTATTGCAAAAATATTAGAGAGAAGGAAAGAAATTATCTGTGTGCTCCGCAGCCACTACATGTTTGATACAGTCTGCTCAGAGGGCATAGTGACATCAAGTGGCGTCTGGTAGAAGTACAGAGCTTATTTTACTGGACCTCAGTGCGGCCTTTGACCTGATCACTGCATCCTGTTAGACAAGTTATGAAAACATCACGGGTAGTGTCTGATCTGTAAGAGATCCTTCTCAGTCGCATCAGGTTTTATGTGAATTGTAAATGCTTCTTCTCTTGTGAAATAATGAATACATTAAAAGGAGTGTCCGACCACATGATGATGAAATTCAATTACACTGATCACTTAATTATTGCAGGGGTAACACTAAAATTAACCCATAATAAGCTAAATCTGGGAAGTAGCAGATCTATGTCTAAAGCCCTATTCGGACGAGATTAGTTTTACATGGGGACCCCTGGTCATTTGTGATAATCGCAGAGGACATCTGAGATTTTAGTCCCGCACGAATGCAATTTGTAAAGTAATAATTTCACCGCAAATTACCTCCTGTATTTGTCCAAACACAGACGTCCTCCGATAATACTTATCCCGTGCGAATCTGCATGTCAGTGATTGTGATCGCTATTGCCGCTTTCTCTTTACTTTCTGCGTGGTTTTTGTCAATGAGCAAAGAAGTTGCGTATCGCGGTTCTACGTCATGGTGCTACGTCCCTTAGCGGACTTCGCTAGTGGGATATCACGTGACCCCCAGGTCACACGCTAGAGATCAAAATAATTTGCTCCAATCACTAGCGACCCTCCTCTATAAAGGCCCCTGCACAAGGCCGCACCCCTTCTTTCACTCTGGCGCCGATTGAGATCATACTTACATCTACTACATCTACTTTGTTTGCTGAGATGTCTGCCTCGACTGCTCGTCCGATTTCCCCTTCGCCCTCCGGCGTCGGACGTCGTCGTTGCTTGGAGTGTCGGGTCAGGCTCCCGCGCACGGACCAGCATTCACGCTGTTTCTTGTGCCTGGGCTCGGGCCATGCGGCAGAGAGCGATAGCTGCTCCTCGTGTCTCGCTCTCCCCGGAGAGGAGAGTGAGCGCAGGCGTGCGTTCTCCGGTGCTCCAGCGCCCGGAAAACTCCAGCGAGACCCGGAGCCGGACCGGTTCCCACTGGATCACATGCCCAGTCTCTACTCCTCCACGGCGGCCACGCTGAACGCTCCTCTACCACCGCAGCCGGACCAGGCGGTGGAGGACTTCACCTCGATGGGCGCCACCACTTCAGGGAGGAGAAGGAAGCAACCCACGTTGTGCCCGCGGATGGACCCGATCCTCCATTACGCGACACGTGAGTGGCCAAAGCCCCTAGCAGCCAAGAGGCCTGCTCTGGGATACGGCATGTACTGCAGCGCAGGACTGGTCCTGGGCCGGTGGTGTCAGTCCGCTTGGCTCTGCTGCCCTCCGCATCCGTGTGGCCCGGCGCCAGACCTCTCCTTCCCTCCGAGCGGGACAGGATTAAGAATGTATCTGATTGTGTTACTTCCCGGGCACATAACGTGGCCTCGCTAGGCCTGCAGCCCCCTGAGCAGGGCGTGCAGTGCGCTACGCGGGCTACGAGTTCCGGTTCTCTGATCCATGCTATGCCCTCCCAGAGAGAGGTCAAGCGGAGAGTGTTGGTGAGTAGAGGTGTGTGTACTTCAGCTAAACACGTGCTAGCCCCTCCTAGCTACGAGGCTAAGCACGGGGTTTCCCATTCCAGGGGCTCCTCCATGAGGCAAGAGCCGGGGGGGGGGGGGGGGGGATCTTATAACGTCGGGCCTGCGGAACACGTGACCGCCCCCGGCGCACACGACGTGACGCAGGAGGCCCCTCTGCCCTCTCGTTCACCCCCCCTCCCTGCTAGGAACACCAGGAGAGGGTGGAGCTGTGACGTCTCGTGTTCCAGTTCCCGTTCCGCCCCTCGTAGATTTCTACAACATCTGGAGGGAGCAGGGATTACTGTCAGACCCGTGGTTGGAGAAACCATGCGCAGAGGCTACGCACTGCAATTCTCCCGGAAACCACCACCATTCCGAGGCGTACGGGCAGCACGCTCTCAGGTACGGGGGTCATTAGTGGCACTGCAAGCGGAGGTCTCCTCTCTGCTGAGTCGAGGCGCAGCAGTAGAGGTAGACCCACAGGACGCCACCAGGGGGCTGTACTCCCCTTACTTCTTGGTGCCAAAGAAGTCAGGCGGGGTGCGTCCCATTTTGGATCTGCGCATTCTGAACGAGTGCATTTCCAAGCGTCAGTTTCGGATGCTGTCCACAAAGCAGCTTCTACAGTGTGTCAGGCAGGGAGACTGGATGTGCTCCATAGACCTGACGGACGCTTATTTTCACGTGGCGATAGTTCCGGAACACAGGAAGTTCCTACGATTCGCAGTGGGAGAAAGGAGCTACGAATACTGCCGTCTCCCATTCGGCTACGCGCTCGCGCCTCGGACGTTCTCAAAGTGCGTGGATGCAGCACTGGTGCCGCTCAGACGCGCGGGGGTAAGAATTTTAACCTATTTAGATGATTGGTTAATACTGGCCTCCTCCAGAGAAGTGGCCGTGAGTCACACACACTGGGTCCTGTCCCACATACAGCGTCTGGGGTTTGTGGTGAACAGAGAAAAGAGCAGGCTGCTGCCGGCTCAGCGCTTGATTTATCTCGGCCTGCAGCTGGACTCGGTGACGTTCGGTGCTGCATTGTCCGAGGACAGACGGAGGAGCATCACCCGTCTGGCAAAGGAGGTGCTGGCGGGTCCCAAGGTCCCCGCGCGGCGCCTCAGATCTTTTCTGGGGATGATGGCGGCAGCTCATACTGTGGTACGGTTAGGCCTCCTCCACATGAGAATGTTTCAGAGATGGTTCTCACGTCTCAGGCTTCACCCCTCACGGGACGGGGGGAGGCCGATCTGGGTTCCCCAAATCGCAGCATCGGACATCAGGTTTTGGCTCACTCCGGGTCTGTTGCGGACCGGAGTGTCTCTGGTCAGCGCTGTGTCTCACGTGGAGGTGTTCACGGACGCGTCACTCGAAGGGTGGGGCGGGGTCCTCGGTCAGAGCTCCGTAGGAGGCTGCTGGTCGGACTCAGCCCGCCACATCAACCTTCTGGAAATGGAGGCAGTGCACAGGGTGCTGCTGCACTTTGCCCCACAGCTGCAGGGGAGGAATGTGATGGTTCGCTCAGACAACACCACGGTGGTGTCTTATCTGAAAAGACAGGGAGGCACCAGATCCCCCGCTCTCCATCGCATGGCGACAGTGATTCTGCTGTGGGCAGAGCTTCACCTCCTGTCCCTAAGAGCATGCCTCGTCCCGGGTGCCCGGAACGTGGGGGCCGACAGAATGTCCAGGGGCAGCCCACTCCAGGACGAGTGGGGCCTGGCCCCGCAGATAACTGCAGAGATCTGGCGGAGTTTCGGCCGTCCAGTGGTCGACCTTTTTGCCAGTGCAGAGAACGCACAGTGCCCGTCCTGGTTCGCCTTAAGGGCCGCGGACGAGCCGTCCCTAGGGGTGGACGCCATGGCTCACTACCCATGGCCAGGGGGCCTGCTGTATGCGTTCCCACCAGTTCGTCTCCTGCCGGTCCTGCTGCGGAGGATCGAGCAAGAGGGGAGATCAGTGATCTTGGTGGCTCCGGACAGTCCGCATGCCCGGCGGTTTCCTTTCCTGAGGGGCATGTCGGTGATGGAACCTTGGAGCCGGGGGCTTTAGTCCAAGGGGGCCCTGTTCTCACGCCCGTTTATCGACCGCAGGCTCTGGGCTTGGAGGTTGAGAGGCGGAACCTCGTAGACCTGGGTCTTCCTCCGGCGGTGATGGAGACTATTCAGGGGGCGAGGGTGCCGTCCACGGTGAGAGCCTACAACACCAGATGGAGGCTCTTCAGCGTCTGGTGCAGTGCTCGCTCTTGGGATCCCAGGCGCTGCCCCTTGGAGGGAGTCCTGGGCTTTCTACAGGAACTCTTTGAAAAAGGGGAGGGCTGTCGGTACCCTGGCGGTGTTCGCGGCAGCCATTACCTTGGGTCACGGTGGCTTCGATGGGTTCACGGCCCGTTCTCATCCTTTAGTGAAAGGTTTTTTGCGGGGGGCCCGCAGGAAGAGGCCCCCGCTTCAGAGAACGCCCCCAGTGTGGGACCTCAGAGTGGTCCTTAGGGGTCTGTTGGGCCCGCCTTTTGAACCAGTGTCGGAGGCGAGTCCCGAGTGTGTTGCTTTTAAGACTGCCCTCTTGCTGGCGTTGGCGTCTGCTAAGTGGGCAGGCGATTTGTGTGCGCTCTCCATACATGCGTCTTGCCTGTCCTTTGGAGAGGGGGACGGACTGGTAGAGTTGTGGCCCAATCCGGCCTTTCTCCCTAAGGTCATTACTTCGGCCTTCAGGTTGAGAGTGATCAGGATTAGGGCTTTCCATCCGCCGCTGCATTCCTCCCCCGAGGAGGAGCGTCGGCACCTTCTGTGCCCTGTCAGAATGCTTAGGCGTTACCTGACCTTAACATCTTCCTTCAGATTTGTGGATCAGC